TTGGATACGACGGGACAATAAAATGATGGAGATAGTCAATGGAAGATGGCGCCGTTGCAAACCAAACACGTCAAACTTGAATGAACAACTTGCGATGGTACGTTATATTTTTACCGACAAGACCGGCACATTGACAGAGAATGCTATGAAATTTAAAATGGGTGATATCAAGGGTCACTTAATTTACAATGAAAATCATAGTTTTTCATTGGAGTTACTTCAGCGACAGGGGGTCATTCGTACTGCCGCGGAGGAGTATTTTCTTGCATTGGCCATTTGTCATACAATTCAACCGTTTCCCGATGCCAACGCCCCCCTTGGTGTGGTGTATGAGGGAGGTTCTCCCGACGAAGTCGCACTGGTGACGACAGCAGCAGAGCACGGTTTTCGACTACTGGAACGCAACTCACGTTGCTTGACGGTGGAGGTGGAAGGGGAGAGGAGAGTGTATGACATCCTTGCCACCTTGGAGTTTACGCCTGAGAGAAAAATGATGAGTATCATTGTGCAAGAACGCAATACAGAACGAATCATACTTTTTACGAAGGGTGCTGATAGTTCAGTAGGATCCCGGACCGCGGATGAAGAAGATGTTCAGGAGTATATGCAAATTCTGTCACAGAGTCTTTTGGATATGGCAGAACACGGCTTACGCACGCTTCTTATTGCCACCCGTGATCTCACGTCCGAGATGTTTAGTGAGTGGAACACACGCTTTTTAGCCGCTGGGAAAGTGCTTGTACGACGCAATGAAGCCGTGGACAGGCTGTGTGGAGAGATTGAACAGGAGCTTCGACTGCTTGGAGCCACCGCCATTGAAGACAAGTTGCAGGAGGAGGTGCCTGAAACGGTTTCGTTTTTCCGTGAGGCGGGTGTAATGATGTGGATGCTCACCGGCGATAAGCGGGAGACAGCCGTGACGATTGCCGCGACCTCATCTCTGCTTGACCCACGGAGGGACTATGTTGTGCATGTCGATCTGGGCTCACTTGATCCAAAAGATCCTGAGGCGATCGAAAAAATTGGCGCCGATTTACATCAGGTGGAATTGCACTTGGAACGTGGACGAAGAGAGGGTGTCCGGTGTACTCTCGTTATTGATGGTACGTCTCTTGGTGTGGTTATGGAGCACTACTTTGAATTGTTCGTCAGGCTGTCCAAGTGCGTTAGTTCGGCCGTCTGTTGTCGACTCACGCCATTGCAAAAAGCGGAAATTGTGCGCATGTTCCAAAAATCGACTGGCTTTACCGCCCTTGCCATTGGTGATGGTGCAAATGATGTCTCCATGATTCAAGAAGCCCGCCTTGGTATCGGTATTATTGGCCTTGAAGGGGCCCAAGCAGCCCTCGCTGCTGACTACGCCATTCCACGCTTCAGAGATCTTCTACGACTTTGTGCCGTTCATGGGCGCTATTCGCTTGTCCGTAATGCGAGCTGCATTGTAGTGAGTTTCTACAAAAACTTTACGTTGTCCTTTATGCAGCTTATTTTTGCCTTTTACTGTGGATTTTCAGGGCTCACATTTTTTGACGGATGGTTCTTAACGTTTTACAACGTCATGATGACCAGTATTCCACCATTCTTTATGGGCATATTTGAAAGGGATCTCCCCTCTGAAGTATTGACTCATCGCCCCGACCTCTTCACGCCCCTTTCCCACGGGCTGTATTTTAGCTGCGTTGTGTTTCTGCGATGGTTCCTCGAGGCCGCGTTTCATGCATGCGTCATATTTTATGTGATTTACCCGACGATGGTAAATGGTGACTACAATCGTCAAGACGATATTTACGGTATTATGGTGGGTTCCATGAGTCTCTTCGTGCTGGTGTCGGTCGTACTGGGCCGTTTTGCCCTACAAATACGGTATTGGCAATTGCTGCAGGTTTTAGGGATTACTCTTTCAGTTATTGTTGTGTTTGCCTTTTTTACCATTTATTCCGCTTTTACTCGTATCGGTGACCTGTCGACATACTGGCAGAGTTACGTTCTTATGTCAGGGGCGAAATTCTGGTTGTACCAGCTGCTGCTGTTTGGAAGCCTGATTTTTATCATTGACCTGACGGTGTTGTGCTTCCAGAAAAATCTCTGGCCTACCCCACGTGACCTCGCAGAACGGGAGCATTTGATGCTGCTTGAAAGTAGGCGAAGAAAAAGAGAGCCGGCGGACCAGATCTCAAATCTCGGCGTAGTGTGAAATAAAATTGCCGCCACCCTCGCCCCTCTCTCTCCTCCGCCGAAGGCAGAAGGAAAGTGGGAAGTGTCGGGGGTGGGGAGGAGGAGGAGACAAGAAAAAGAGATTCTACTGAGGCCTACTGTGTTTGTGTGTGTACACGCCATTCCTCACGGCACGTGCATACGCACGCAAATGTGTGTACGGCATCATCATGATTTTGAGTGGTGGCACAAACACGAAGAAAAAATAATAATAATAATAATCATAAATAAGTGTGGAGTTGCGGGGACACAAGAGTCACTCAAAAAAGGAGGAGGAGGAGAAGTTAAATGACTGAAAAAACGCAAGCATATTTACAAATAAAAAAAAAAGACCGGAAGAGGAGACGAATTAAATGATGTCAAGAGGATAGGAGGACTTCTCACAATTTGGACGGAGTGGATAATGAAAGAGAGTGATGCGGAGGTTGTAACACGAGAAGGATTTGTTGCCAAGGAAACAAAAAAAAAAAAAGGGGGGGAGGGGTTGACGTTGTTTTTTTCTTTTTGTTTGTTTGTTTGTTTGTTTGTTTGTTTGCCTCTCCTCTCTCTCTCTGATTGCGAGCGGAAATAAATATATATATATATAGTAATAATGAGTCATGTTGGGCGTATACGAATAAATATATAAGTATATATTTGTGTGTATATTTATTTATTTATTTATTTAATTTATTTATTTATTTATCTTGGGAAGAAGAAGAGGAGGAGGAGGAGGAGTTTTTTTTTCTTTTCTTTTTTTTTTTTTCTTTCTTTAGGGGTATATTTATTTGCGTGTGACTTGTGTATTTTTTAATTTTTGTTTCTTCTTGTTGTTTTTGTTTTTGGTTCTTCCGGTGCACATATATATATATACCTCCTCGTTGGTGTTTACTTTTCTTTTCTTTTCCGCCCTTACAATTGGGGACTTCCGGCTGCATTGAACCCCTGCGTGCTTCTTTGATTCCCGGGTGCTTTTCCTCCCTTTTGTTCGTTTGTTTGGTTGCTTTTGTTTTGTTTTTGTCTGTGGCGGTGGCGCGGTGTGTGTTTATGTCCCCCCACCCACCACCACCACCACCATTTCGTGCGATGATGATGGACTGCGTGAATGCACACAAATGAGAGGGAGTAATGGTTTTTGTTGTTGTTGGCAAGCAGTTGGAGTGGAAAAAAAAAAAAAAGAATTATATTTATTTTTATTATTTTTGTGAGCAAAAACGAGGGGAAAGAAAAAGAAAAAAAAAAGGGGGGGGGGGGGGGGGAAGGGGGAAATGGCGGGAATATAAAATATTTATTTTATATTAATACATGCATAGCGAGGCGAAGGGGGAATTATCGATGGGATGTCTTTTGGTCGAATAACTCGAGCTGCGTTGATGTCGAAGTTTTGTTTTGAGTGGCAGTTCCCAAGGGGGGTGTTGCATGCATACATAAATACGGGGGGGGAGGGAGGGAGAGACATCTCTCTTTTTTTGTGTGGATATTATTTATTTTGTTGGTTTGTTTGTAGTTGTTGGTCTTTGTTTTCCTTATTGTGTCACGTGTGCATAAGGACTTAAGGATACCGGGTTATATACATATAGATATATATATATATATATCTACGCATGCATGTATGTATACATATGTGTGATATTTATATATTATAGTTGCATATGATTTATTTATTTATTTATTTTTCCTTTTTATTTTTATTTTATTTTATTTTGTGTGCGTGTGCGTGTGTGTGTGTGTGTGTTGTTGTTTTTTTTTTTTGTTGGCAATTGGTATTACATACATATTTGTGTTTCTGTCAAGAAACAACAAAAAAATAAATAAATGAAGAATCATCAGAAGACAATGGCCTTTTTATCATTGTTGTTGTTTGCTTCATTATGAGATTTAAATAGCCTTTTTAAAATGGTAATGACGCCGTATATCTGTATATATCTGTGTGTGTGTGTGTGTGTTTCTTTTTTCTTGGTTGGGGGAAAGGACATTTAAAAAAAAAAAAAAAAAAAGGAGGGATTTTGTTGACTGACGTTTGGGCTGTTGCGCGGGATTTCCCCCTTTTTTTTTTTTTTTCCTTCTTTTTTTTTTGCTCCCGTCTATCTTTTCGTGTAGGCGTTCGTGCACGCAACGATGTGAGGATGTGCGGGCAAATATTTCGTTTGGGGGTAAAACAGCCGGACGACGCACCGCCTTTTCCCCCTCACACACACAAAAAAAAAGTCATTTTTTGGGGGGGGGGGAGATTCCCCAGTTATTTCCCACCCCTGTTGCCAACGTCTAATTCTCCACTTTAACCTTTTTTTTTTTTTTTTTGAGACTCGACTCTTTTGTTTCGAACATTCTCTTCTCTGCGCGTGCGCGGTTATTTGTCCTTTGGTAATATTATTTACGGTTTGTGTATTGTTTTGTATTCCTTTTTCTTTTTTTTTTTTTTTTTTTTTTTGTTGAGGGAAGGAGGGCGATCGGATGTGTGTGTTTGGATGCTATCGAATTCGTTACAATCCCCCCTGTCGCAGTGTACGTGTGCTTTTATATTCTTTTGTTTTTGTTTTTGTTGCTGCTGATATTTTTTTTTTTTAGTTGTTTGCTTGTGTTTGCTCCAAAACTTGCCTATTAATGCGTCTTTGGCCATATTTGCCACGTCTCCCTCGTTCTCTCTCTCTCTCTCTCTCTCTCTCTGTCTTCTCCTTTTGGCGCCCTGAGTGGTTTGCATCCCTGCTCTTTTCTCTTTCTTTTCTTTTTTTTTTTTTTTTTTTTTTTTTTTTTGCGATGGAAGTGTTTGGGTGCGTGTGTGGGTTGGAGCGGAAAGCCGTGGGGACATGTCGTCGCTGACTTACGAGAATTACTACCAGCAGGCTCTCGAGGACCTCGCCTTCATCTGGAAAGAGGACGTGAATCTCACCAAAGTGCGCGTCGCGGCGAGCGGACGGCCACGGTACGAGCAACTGCTGCAGTACTGGTCATCGCTCTACATTCAGTACCTGCGCACGGCGAAGCGACTTGCTGCCGTGCACGACGCCCAGCTGCAGCCACAGAAGCGCTACGATGTTCGCACGCTGCTTGACACCTGTCTGGGCCGGATGTTGGAAGTACGAAACCTTCTCAAAATGAACTGTGGAGAGTTTGTCAAGCTGGATGATGCCGCGCTGGACATGAAAATGATCCCGGAAGATCTCGAGGTGCCCATCCCGCGCTACTTTGTTGAGGATACCGCGTCGGAACTGCAGGAACGGCGGCGGCAGATTGCAGCGCTGCAGACATATTTCAAGGAAACCGAGGCGGATGCGC